GGTCCCTGTGCTTTTGCTTAGTTTAGCTTGTTCTAAGTAGGTGCTTTAGACCACTGACTGAGCCATCTCACCAGCCCCAATAAATAAATTTTTAAAAATTAAAAAAAAAGAATGGAGTCTGCTAGGCTAGGTATGATATAGTTACATTGGAGTTATTTTGGCCAAACCTCTCCTGCTACTGCCTCCTGCTGCTATTTGGAAACCTGCCACCAACAACACCAGACCTGCATGCCTAAGCCACCTCCAGGGATCCAACTGACTAAAACATCAACCCCAGCCAGAAACTCTTTACCCAGTACTCTTGGAAGATCAGAGCCAGATGTGCCCCACCTTCTCTTCTGCAAGCTTGGGCCACAGCACTGGCACCTGTACCCCTGCAGCCCACTCAGGCTTCAGTGTCTGTGTTAGTGACCCTGATACCCGCTGGCATGACCTAGTGCTTACCTGCACCTACTCAGACTGGCCAAGACAACAGAAGTTTGTAGGGCCCTTCTCACAGAAATCATCCCTAGATGTTGTGTACCCTTGACCATTGGCAGTGATAATGGGCCTGTATTTGTAGCAGAGAGAACTCAAAACTGGCAGAACCATTAAAGATTAAGTAAAAATTACATACAGCATACAGGTCACAGAGTTCTAAAAAAGTTACAGAAATAAAGCTTAACTGGGCTGGTGAGATGGCTCAGTGGTCTAAAGCACCTACTTAGAACAAGCTTAGCAAAGCAGAGGGACCGCGGTTCAATCCCCCAGCACCACATGCCAGCCAGCCCCGCCCCCTGGTGGGCTGAGCTGGCTACACACACACACACACACACACACACACACACACACACACACACACAAATAAATTTTTTAAAAAAGCAAGCATAACCTAACCCTACAGAAACAGCTTATAACTAGCTCTACAAAAGTTTAGCTAAGAGACCAGCTACCTGTATATGTGTCCTGTGCACACATGTAATCCAGGTGCATATGAACTACCTCTACAAGTTTCAGAAATCCATTCCAGAGTTAGAAGAGCCTATCAAGATGATTACTAGAAATGTACCTGGATAGCTCCTCCGGGACTCACTCTAGAGAGACAATGCACTCAATGCCCTTCTGTGCTCCGGTTACTCTGGACATGCATGGCTGAAGCCTGAGGACACCATATCCAGAATTCTCCATACTTATTCCTCTTGATTTTTGTGCCTTTTTAGGCTGTTTGCCTCAATCCTTCCTTCCCTGCTCTCCCTGCTAGCTGTGGTTTTTGCCTTAAACTCTACAGGTGGTTGTCCCCCCAAAGGGAACAATTAGTCAGACATCTGACCAAGATTTGATGAGAATCTAAGGCACATTGGACACTCTCCTAGGCCAGCGTAGCCCCCTCTCCTAGGCCAGCGTAGCCCCCTCACTACCTTGCCAGAGTAATGTTATTGTACAGACAAGCCTAAATTATGTCTCTTTCTAAAAGCAACTTAGGGAAAAACTCTGTAATAAGACAACCTTGGGGACCTTGGCTAGGGCGCCTCCTAGGGTCAGTGACAGCCCTAATGCTGCTGCTTCTAGTTAACCTTCTCTCAGAAGGTCATATGTAATATAATCAGCAAAGATTTGACTGGGAAACTAAAAGAGGGGGACAATGTAACAGAAAATGGCCCCTCAGCCAGTATACTTAGTTTCTTAGTTGCCCAGGCAATAGTTCCTGTACAGTGCCAGTTGCTTCTGTCTCTTAGAAATGGCTGGTCACTGTGATGGATATTGTAAGAACCAATCAGAGATGGCAAGTACTCTGCCTCTGTGTCCACACCTGCCCCCCTTTGAAGCCTCATAGAAACCTCCCTCCCTGGGCCTTGGGGACCTGAAATTTTGAGAGACAACTGTTTTCCCTGTTAATGCTCATCCAATGTTAAATAAATCTGCCTCCAAATCCTGGGTGTTTTGGTGTTTCTGCTTGCTGTTGCGGTACCACGGAATACCTACAGTATTAACTTTCCATCTTCTAGTTAATTAATTTATACTGCAGGTGTGTACCACCACAACTGGCAACTTTGTATCTTTCACTGAATTTTTTTTTTTTTTTTTTTTAAGGTAGGATTTCTGCTTACTTATCTCTTGTTGCTGAGACAAAATGTCCAACACCCAAATTAGTGGAAGAAAAGCTTTACTTAGCTCACAGCTCCTATAGAGGTTTCGATCTATAATCGGCCGGCTCCGAGGCAGGATGGCATGGCAGAGGGGCATCCTAGAGGAGAAATAACGTGTGGCAGCAGCAGACAGCAAACGCAAGCCAGGCAAAGGGGGGACAAGCCTCTTTCTGTCCCCTTTATCTGATCCAGACTGCTAGGATTAGGACAGTGCCAATCCAATCAGTGGACTGATCCTAACAATCACCCACCCTTAATCCAGCACCCTTAATCCTAGCACTGAGCATGAATCAGAATCAGTCACAAGCTCCAGACTTAGCTACCTCCAAAAAGTCCTACCTAAAGATGCATGAGGTTTTGGGGAGGGGGCAAACCATACCAGTCTCACTATGTAGTTCAGGCTGGCCTCGAACACACTGTGTAGTCCAGATTGGCCTCAAATTCCTAGTAACAATTAGTGTACCTTAAACACCATTTCAAATCAAAACATGGATCATTCAGGAAGTTTTGTTTTGTTTATGGTTCTGGGGAACAAACTCAGGGCCTAACATATTCAAGCTACATCCCCAGCCCAAGAACGATGTTTGTCTTGTAATTTTAATCGTTTTAGTTTTTTTGGAGCAAGATCTTACTGTTTAGTCCAGGCTGGCCTTGGATTTGTGGCAATCCTCCTGCCTCAGTCTCTTGAGTGCTGGGATTACAAGTGTGTGCCACCACCCCTGGCTCAAGGAAGATACTGTTAACTTTGAGGTACTTTTTCTACCATTAGTGAATTCTTCACTTTCCACTTCTCACATTGTCTTTTCTTGTTTGGTTTCCCAGGCAGGAGTGTGAGCATATTGGAGCGCTTAGTCACCATTCCAACGCAGAACCTTTCACAGTCTCGCTGTGTAATATTCTGTCACACAAACACCACTCCTGGTGTCAGTATTAACCTTTGGTTCTCTCTCAGGTTCCTCTTATCCTTCAGATTTCCCATGTAGCAGGAGAATTGAAGAGTGGGGTGTCTTTCTCAAGCTAATGGGAGGGTCTGTGGTATTTCCTTTCCTTCCTGCTCTTTCTACTGTGTGTGACAACTTTTATTTCCTTTCTTTGGAGGTACCAGGGATCGAACTCAGGACCTCAGGCAGGCGCTTATGCCACTGAGCTATATCCCTGGCACCCATGACAACTTTTGTTTCCACTCCAGGGGAAGCCATACGTCTTTGACCGTGTGTTCCCACCAAACACGACTCAGGAGCAAGTTTATCATGCATGTGCCATGCAGATTGTTAAAGGTAATGCATGTATTTTTAGAATAAATTTTCTCAAACTACCCATTCCCTATCACACATACCTCCAATAGTATTCTTCTTCCATTCTTTCTTCCAGATGTCCTTGCTGGCTACAATGGCACCATTTTTGCTTATGGACAGACATCCTCAGGGAAAACACATACCATGGAGGTGAGAGGTCCACCCCGGGATGAGGAGCTAGGGTGTTATTGGAAGATCAAGGAATCTCAGGAGGGGAAGACCTAGGAATCAAGAGTTGTGTGATTCAAAGTAGATGGGTAGGGCTGGTGAGATGGCTCAGTGGTCTAAAGCACCTACTTAGAACAAGCTTAGCAAAGCACATGGACCGCGGTTCAATCCCCAGCACCACATGCCAGCCAGCCCCGCCCCCTGGTGGGCTAAGCCGGCCACAGACACACACACATAAATAAATAAAAAAAAAACAAAGTAGATGGGTAGAGGAAATGAACTGAGGGACAAGTTTAATGGGATCCCTTCAATCTACTGTTGCCACCTACTCTAATTGTCTTTTTTGGGGCCGGGGAGATGGCTCAGTGGAATAAGCACTTCCCTGGCAAGTGCAAGGGCCTGAGTTTGATCCCCGGTTCTGGAAAAAACAAAAAACAAAAAACAAAACCTTTCTAATTGTCTTCTTTGATCTGGCAAAACAGCAGCAAAGAATGTCTGAAGGGCAGCTTAGTGTTATTTTTTTCTACTAGAAGGCAGATGTAGCGACCATGCCCTAACTTGGGATGCCATTCTGTATTCCCTCTGTGTGTTCCTCCACATACCTCTGAATTGTCTCATTGTTCCTTCACTCCCCAGGGAAAGCTGCACGATCCCCAGCTGATGGGAATCATTCCTCGGATTGCCAGGGACATCTTCAACCACATCTACTCCATGGATGAGAACCTTGAGTTCCACATCAAGGTGATCAAGACGTGGAAGCTAGGCATCCACAGATGGGCCTGGGAGGAGGAGGAGAAGGTCTAAAATAAACTCGCTGAAGATCTCTGGCTCCCCACCTTTACTGTCCCCTCTGGTTACCTAAGTTCTTCTCTACCATGATGTTCTTTCCTGCCTACCTTTACCCCTTGAGTGGGTCTTGTTATTTTGAGATCCCTGTATTAGGCTCAGGATAAGTCCTCTTCACTTTAGACTCCTCTCTTCCTAACCAGGTTTCTTATTTTGAGATTTACCTGGACAAGATTCGTGACCTTCTGGATGGTGAGTGCTTTGCCACAGTGTGTTAGGGTGGGTGAAAGGGCTTGGAGCTGGTTGCCCTTTGGCACACAGAATACCCCTGAGTTCTTGGGCTCCATGCTCCAAGAATTCCCAAGAGTTGAGAGTCAGAAGAGCATCCTCAAGGTCCAGGCCTACACATATGTAGTCTTACAGGAGCAGGAGTTTTGGAACTAGAGCCCTAAAGACGGGATGGGGGAGGGGAGGTGGTGCTGAACCTTCAGCACGAACATGGTCAGGCTTCACCAGAGAGTCTCCTCACTTTACTAAGAAGGAGCCACCATCTGAGTGGGCCACAGGGTGCAGGGGTGGGGGCCTGTGCTGGCCATGCTCACCTTGCATTGTCCTGATTCAGTGACGAAGACAAATCTGTCTGTGCACGAGGACAAGAACCGGGTGCCCTTCGTCAAGGTGAGAGTGAGGTGGATACCACCCAGGACCAGTGTATGGGAGGGGGTGTGGCATGAGTTCAGGGCTGGGCAGCTAAGATGCCCCATGGGGTTAGGCAAGCCTGGAGACTTAGAAAAGATATTGTTAGGCGGGCAGTTTAATTTGCAGATCGAGGTTTATGGGTCACTGTGCATTTCTCCCTACAGGGCTGTACTGAACGCTTTGTGTCTAGCCCAGAGGAGATACTGGATGTGATTGATGAAGGGAAATCGAATCGTCATGTGGCTGTCACAAGTGAGTGGGGATGTAAGGGGCCCTGGAGTGTGGCAGTCCACCTCCCTTCTGTGCCCCTTGTGGGCAAGTGAGCGAGGAGGACTGTCATCCAGAGGAGGGCCCCTGGCCCATGCTGCCTGCTGCCTGGGACAGGAGGGGCAAGCTGGTTGGGAGGCCCCTCTCTCTTGGCAGGGAATGGCAGGCAGCCAGCTGGGGCTGGGGCTGAGGGCTGCAGCCCCACAAGCGTTGGTGCAGGTCCTGTATCCCTCTGACCCTGCAGACATGAATGAACATAGCTCTCGGAGCCACAGCATCTTCCTCATCAACATCAAGCAGGAGAACATGGAAACAGAGCAGAAGCTCAGTGGGAAGCTGTATCTTGTGGACCTGGCAGGGAGCGAGAAGGTTGGGGCTCCTGTGGAGGAGGGGGAGGGGAAACGGAAGGGGGTAGAGAAGGAAGCCTTGGGGGGCTTGCATTTTACCCATTAAAATCTTCTTTTTTCTTTCGGTGGAGACAGGGTCTCGAATTGTAGTGCAGGCTGGCCTTAAACTTGAGGTGATCATCCTGCCTCAGCCTCCTGATGCATGTGCCACCTTGCCCAGCCTTAGAAAACCTTTTAAAAATTGAAATAGAATTCATACCAGGGCCAGCGAGATAGCTCAGTGGACTAAGTGCCTACTTAGGCAAGCACAGGGACTGGGGTTCGATTCCCAGCACCACACGCTGCGCTGGCCCTGCCCCCGGGGCCTGATGATCCCGAGTCTGGGTGTGGTGGTGCACACCTGTAATCCTAGCGCTGGGGAGGCTGAAGACAGGAGGATCAACAGAGCTGTGTAGTGAGACCCTGTACTAAGTACATAGAAAATCAAAGAAATAGAATTCATATCAGAAAGTTGCCTATTTTAAAATGTACAGTTCAGCGGGTTTAGTGGGTTTAGTGGGTTTAGTGTGGTCACAGGGTTGCATAGCCATCACCCCTGCACCATTGCAGAACGTTTTCGTTATCCAGCGACAGTCACTTCCCCTTCTCCCTGCCACCCCTTCCTTGGAAGCCACTAATCTACACTGTCTGAGTTTGCCTACCCTGAACATTTCACGTAAATAGAATTCCGTAACGTGATGGGGGGCTTTGGAGAGAGTTCAGGGGTGAAGGCAGCATCTTCCTGGTCCTGGCCAAGCACCTCTGACTTTGTCCTCTTTCTCATTCCCTCCCCTTTTCTTGGTCTGGCCCTCCTAAGTTGGAAGGAGTTGGGGACCACTTTACAACTGCCCGTACACACTCGTCCCTTCATGCCCCACAGGTCAGCAAAACTGGAGCCGAAGGAGCTGTGCTGGATGAAGCAAAGAACATCAACAAATCGCTGTCCGCCCTGGGGAATGTGATCTCCGCACTGGCTGAGGGCACCGTAAGTGCTCCCCGGATGCCCTTCATCCCTCCAGCCTCACCTTCTCCTCCAGTTTCCTTTCATTCATACCCTGACTTGTGGGCTGCTCAGCTCCCGTTGGCGCCACTGTTCTTTTTTTTCTTTTTTTTTTTTTTTTGCGGTACCAGGGATTGAACTCAGGACCCTGTGCTTGCCAGGCAAGCGCTTATTCTACTGAGCTCTCTCCCTGGTCCCTACTGTTCTTTCTGATCCCCTGCTGAGCTTGCTTTTCTGATTTCTGGACTCCCTCCTTCCCAGAAAAGCTATGTTCCATATCGCGACAGCAAAATGACACGGATCCTCCAGGACTCTCTGGGAGGAAACTGCCGGACGACCATGTTCATCTGCTGTTCACCGTCCAGTTACAATGATGCAGAGACCAAGTCCACCCTGATGTTTGGGCAGCGGTCAGTGGAGCCCCCTGAGGGAGCTTTGGTGCTCAGCTCCCACTCAGCCCCTGGAGTTGTCCCAGCCAAGGGTTACCCATGCCGACTGCAGGTCACATCTCCTTGCTTCTCTTGTCTTCACCCAGAGCAAAAACCATTAAGAACACTGCCTCCGTGAATCTGGAGTTGACTGCTGAGCAGTGGAAGAAGAAATATGAGAAGGAAAAGGAGAAGACCAAGGCCCAGAAAGAGACCATCGCGAAGCTGGAGGCTGAGCTGAGCCGCTGGCGCAATGGTTAGCGGGAAGTCTTCGGGCGTGGACGGGAGTGGTGGGAGGAGGTGGGTGGGTGGGTGTAAGGCCAGGCCAGGCTCCAGGAAGGAGGGCTGTGTGGCTGGAGCGCTGCAGTGCGGCAGCTGGAGGAGAAGGCTGACCCCAAGAAGGGTGGTTCTCAGGGAGGAACAGAGGTGAGGCGCTGAAGGCCTTGGTGTGAAGGAGGAAGGGTGCTGTCTGCATGCAGCTTCCTTTTCATCCCTCCCTTCGCTGCCAGGAGAGAATGTGCCTGAGACAGAGCGCCTGGCTGGAGAAGACGCAGCCCTGGGAGCCGAGCTGTGTGAGGAGACTCCTGTGAATGATAACTCATCCATCGTGGTGCGCATTGCACCTGAGGAGCGACAGAAATATGAGGAGGAGATCCGCCGCCTCTATAAGCAGCTGGATGACAAGGTGAGGGTCCGGGGTGGGAAGGCAGGGGACTGAAGCAATGAGCCTATACCACCTTTTCTGATTTTAAAAGGGATAAATGCTCCTCGTTGCAAAGGTGGAAAGTAAGTAAAAATATAGAGAAGAAAGTTAAAACCAGCTGGGTGTGGTGGCGCACGTCTGTAATTTGAGCACTCAGGAAGCCGAGGCAGGAGGATCATTTCAAGTTTGAGACCAGGCTGGGCTACAAAATGAGCTCAGGCCAGCCTGAACTGCATAGTGAGACCCTGTCTCAAAATGACAAAAAGAAAGAAAGAAAAATTAAAACCGCCCATCAGTCTTCCATTAAGAGATAATGTTTAGCTGTTAAGGTCTTGCTTTTCTCCCTGAATGTATATACAATTGAATTTTTTTTTTTTTTTTTTTTTTTTTTGGAACCGGGAATTGAACTCAGACCCTTGCACTTGCCAGGCAAGTGCTTATTCAACTGAGCCATCTCCCTGGCCCCCTGTATACGCAGTTGAGATAACCTTCATTTAAAAAAAAAAAAACAAAAACAAGAATTAAACGTAAAGTCCTGAGTTCAATCTCCAGTACCACAAAAGAAAAAAGAGAAAAGAAAAGAAAAGAATCAAACTGGGGACCTTGTACTTGCCAGGCAGCAAGTGTGCTCCTGAGCTACATCTTTGGTCTGGGATAGCCTGGATGTATGATTTTGTGTCATTTTTTTTTTTTCATTCAGATCAATTTTCTACTTAAAATTTTTTGTGCTTTTTAAAAAAGTTGCCTAAGAATCCTTTAACGAAGATGTACTTAACAATTCATTTATTACAAGGCTTGCAGTTTTTGGTTTTTTTTTGTTTGTTTGTTTTTTGGCAGAACCACGGATTGAACTCAGGCTCTGCGCTTCCCAAAGGCAAGCGCTTATTCTACTGAGCCAACTCCCTGGCCTCTTTTTATTTTTATTTATTTATTTATTTTGGCAGAACCAGGGATTGAACTCAGGCCCTTATGCTTGCCAGGCAAGCACTTATTCTACTGAGCCATCTCCCCAGCCCTTGTTTTTA